AACCCTCAAATAAAGCTGAATTACAACAATTCTGCAAAGACGAGTGGGCCAAAATTCCTCCAGAGCGCTGTAAAAGACTCGTAGCAAGTTATCGCAACGCTTGATTGCAGTTATTGCTGCTAAGGGAGGTCCAACCAGTTATTAGGTTCAGGGGGGCAATTACTTTACTCACACAGGGCAATGTAGGTTTGGATTTTGTTCTCTCACTAAATAATAAAAACCATCATTTCAAAACTGCATTTTGTGTTTACTTGTGTTATCTTTGACTAATGGTTAAATGTGTTGATGATCAGAAACATTTTGTGTGACAAACATGCAAAAGGATAAGAAATCAGGAAGGGGCAGATAGTTTGTAGGCTCTGATAGGACGGCACAGTGGTGAAAATGTTTTGGCTTTTCGCCAAGCACTCGTGTCTGTTTGTAAAGGGACTGCAGTGCTTTCAGAGTTGTCGAGTCCGCCAGGGACCAGGTTGTCAAGCAGTGATGTGGGAGAAAACCATTGAGTGCATATATGTTTTAGCGGCCTGAAGGGACATGGAGTTACGGATGTATTGAAAGTTGGCACGGTGTATTTTATTTTTTACAGGTTTCCTTCACTTGAAGTTTAATTTGGAGTCTACTTGTACGCCTAAATATGTTATACTTTTGAACAAACATGACGTTTTTGTCCTGAAACTATGATGCCTGGGTCTGCTGTTGTCTTGTTTGATTGTGTAAAATACATTCCATTGTTTTTGACACATTCAGAGTTGGAGACCACTCTGATTTAACCATAAAGAGACATTAACCATTGATTTGAGAGTTTATTGGCTACTTCTTGTTTTGATGTTCCATGTACATATAACACCGTGTCATCGGCGTACATGTGTATATTAACATCAGGGGCACGCGTGCGGAAGGTCATTAATATACATACAGAATAGGACAGGAGCTAATATAGAGCCTTGTGGCAGGCCTGCTGACACACTGAGGGGCTTGGACTGCTTATTGTGAATACATACCGACTGTGAGCGATCAGACAGATTTGATTTTATCCATTTTATTGCCTTGTTTGATGTATTGAAGATGATAATTTAGCCAGTAGGATCCGATGGTTTATTGTATCAAATGCTTCTCTAAGATCAATAAAGATTGCCCAGCTACATTATTTTTTTATCTAGTAGTATTTGATTTTGTCAGTAAAGAAACACTTGGCAGACTCTGAGTGGTTGGGTCAAAATCCAAATTGTAATGGATGAAGTTGAAAGGACTGTTTTGCAGACGGTCTTTGATTTGCTCCCACATCCATTTTTCAAGAACCTTGAAATACTGTTAGAATGCTGATGTGCCTGTAATCTGAAACTTGTTGTGGGTTTCCTATTTAAATATAGGTG